GCCGCCCTCCTCTCTCTGCTGCCGCCCTCCTCTCTCTGCTGCCGCCCTCCTCCCTCTCTCTCTGTCTTATTCTTTGACTGCTGCCCCATGTAGTACAAGTCTCATGTAGCCTGTGACTCAGAGGTTAGTGTTGTCAGATTTCGATAAACAAGTAGATCTTGCTATCTGTCACTGAACCTTTGCTGGAGAAAGGTCAAGGAAAGGATGTGATGGCTTTAAATAGGGCAATGGAGTGCAGTTGAACTGTTGCCTATCAATCACACTTTAAATTGTGCTTTTATAAAATGGCAGGGATGATGTACAAGTTTGAATTGTACATAAACATTAAACATTTTGTCTGTTATATCTTTTCAAGAGAAGTGCACAATTTTCATTTTATTTTTATTTGAAGGTTGGAATAATGTTTTCCTTTTCCTACAAAAGGATTCAGAAAACCAGGCAAAGTCAACTGGGCCAGAGCCGCAGCACCTAGATGAATTCACAAGTCTACTTGTACCAGATGACACTCGAGTAATGGTTGATTTGTTGAAGTTGGCTGTGTCGACCCGTGCTGGTGAAAAGGGCAAAGATGTTTTGTCCGCTGTGCTTTCAGCCATGGGCACTGCCTACCCTCAGGTAACTACAAATGTTTTCACCCTATCAAACCGAAGTCACAGTTCAATAACTGGTAAGCAAAATGATTCCTTTCCAATATGAGCCGTGAATGTGCTGTACGGGATATTAATTTAGGAATTCACGTTGCTGTTCTAATGACAGCATTAGTTTGTTTAAAGTTAGTAGATGAATGTCTTTATCAAAATAACATGTGAAGTCACAAATATGTTAAGCTCTTGTATGCCCAACACACAGTAATTTATAATAGATATAAGAAATCCGACCTTTGGATGGTAAAATTACCAGATATGCCTTTTTCCAGGAGCATTTTGATAGCATGTTGTGTACTGGAAACAACAATAAGAACTTAATTCTCCAATTCAATCTCCTTACCTGAAGAATAGAAAGAGAACTTAGTTTTTCTTATTATTGAATCAAGATGGACTACATCTCAAATTCTGCTGTAGCTTTTTGCCTGATTTTTGTCCCTTTTCTATCACCAAAAACAACAATTTGAGCTACAGTTTCACGAGTGACAACTCTCTGCCAGCACTTTGCCCACTGGCCATTTTGTATGCGGGCCTTTTGCCTCATTCAATATGAAATAGGGATTGAGAATTATCCAGTAATCTATACTGATGAGGGATGGAATTGACAATTAATGATTCTTCATTTCATTCTGACTTTGGCATGTATTAAGTTTGTTGTTAAAACAGTCATTCTAACAAATTCATATTCGAAAAGATTTGTATTGGATATGTGATGTCTGAAACTTAATGTTTGGCTGACACTAATGATACCATTTAATGATCGCTTGCCTACATCAATTGAAAAATTGAGGATAGTTGAAGATTGACTAAATTTGCAGGTTTAAATAAGATCTATGAACTTTGGCAAAATGGACACCATATATTTTTGTGCTTCTGTTACAGTTTCTCTCAAACCTCAATGTTATAATCATGAGCATGAGTCTGTGTCTTTTTTGTCTCATTATTAAAATATTTTAATTTGATTTTGCTTTTTCGATAACAAATCTTCAAAAGGCAAACATTTGAAGAATTGCATATTGTTTACCTAAATTATGTCAGTGAAAGTATGAATGTGTATTCTAAAGTAAATATTTTTTCAAACTGTGTTTTAGCCATTATTATAATGCATTGGGATCATTGTTACCTTTAACATTTGAAGCAAGCTGTCATAGCATTCATTCCCCGATGGGCATTTCTCACTCAATGCAAGCTTATTATTCGTTCATGCCGTACACTTGTTCCTCTTTTGTGTTCTACTCTGCAGGTGGCTGACATGTTGTTGGAACTATGTGTGACTGAGTTAGAAGATGTGGCCTCTGATTCTCAAAGTGGGCGCCATTCTCCTCAGCCAGTGATAGTGGAAAGCAGTCACCCATACACTGATGACACATCTACCAGTGGGACAGTGAAAATACCAGGTATCTATCTCACGCAAGTATGTTGGTTCAGATGTCGCCGATGTGTTATGCTTAGTCTCAAATATTCCCTGGAACTTTTCTGTACTTGGAATTGTTGCAAATATGAGGATTATAAGATCTTGTATTTTTTGATTAGATTAGGAAAATTGGAGGAATGAATGAGTCAGGTGACCTGTTTTGAATTCTTCCCGAAAACAAGCCTGAATGGTATGGTTGTTAAAGATTAAAGGGGCCTCATTGTTTTAATGGCAATAAATTGCAAGAGGTTCACAAGATAAAGGCAGAAGTGTCTGTCCTGACAGATTTTAGACTGTTAGTCGCCAAAGTCCGAGAAGGGTATAAAAGTTTCAAGTTTTATAAACAATAATATGTTAAAATATGTAATTTTCAGGTGGAATGGAGTTGGGGTGGAGTTTATAAATGTTAATTAGTATACATTTATGATACAAGGCTGATATGATTAATGTTGTCATGGAGATGGACTTTTAGAAAGGAAGGGTACACAAGATGCCAAGAGAGGATTGGATCATGAGGTTCTTCTAGAACTATCCTGGGATTTCAGAGGCAGGTCAGTCTACTGGATCCGTTGAGAAGGAGAAGCAGACAGAAGTGGCAAGTTTTTATGGTTCACAGTGCAGGAATGTGGGTGGGAACTCAAACTTGGATTAGGGTTAAAAGTTACCAAGCTGAGAAAAGAACAGAAATAAACCTTTGGGAGGGCTAATAATCACTTTGCACTGGTTCAGGGATAATTAATTGTCTACTTAAGGGGCAGTGTAAAATGTAATTCTGGAGTGGGATTTTCAGATGCCTTAAAGATAAAGGGAGAAAGCTGTGTTCCGTAATCCCTGTACAGTGGGATTTATGCGTACAGGTCCATAGTTCTCTGGAAGTGGTGACCCCAGTGGATAAGATGGCCAAGAACGTGTATGGCATGTTAGCTTTCATTGATTAGGGCATAGAGTATAAAAATTAGCAAGTCATGTTGCAGCTGTATAGAACTTTAGTAAGGCCACATTTGGAATATTGCGTACAGTTCTGGTCACCACACGACTAGAAGGATGTGGAGGCTTTGCAGAAGGTACAGAAAAGGTTTACCAGGATGTTGCCTGGTTTGGAGAGTATTAGCTATGAAAGATTGGAAAAACTTGGTTTGTTTTCACTAGAGGCTGAGGGATGACTTGATAGAGGTTTATAAAATTGAGAGAAGCATGGATAGAACGGATAATTGGAGTCTTTTTCCCAGGGTAGAAATGTCAGTTTCTCGGGAACATAGTTTTATGTACGAGGTACATAGGTACAAGGGGGAAAAGTTTTTAAAGGAGATGTGAGAGCAAGTTTTTTTATACACAGGGTCATCAGTGCCTGGAATGCGGTGGTAGAAGGTGGTACAATAGCAGTGTTTAAGAAGCATCCTGACAGACATAAGAATTGGCAGAGAATAGAGGGATATAGACCATGTAGAGGCGAAAGGCTACTAGTTTAGAAAGACGTTATGTGTTGGCACAGTCTTGGTGGGCAGAAGGGCCTGTTGCTGTGCTGTATCGATCTTGGTTATTCTTTGTAAGTTTGAAATATGAGTTGCTTGCTGACAGTTTAGACAATGCTACTTTTAGTCTGTTTGTTACAGTAGAAGCCCTAGGTGAAAACTTGTCATTTCAGCTGCTCGCTTGAAGTTCACATTTTTTTTCTTGGTCTCTATGCGGATGATAGCAGAATGAATAATCTGTAAGAGGGAAAGCTAAGACGTGCAGGCAGATAACTATCTTTCTTCGCATGTTTTTTTTTAGGTGCTGAAGGTCTTCGAGTAGAGTTTGACCGGCAGTGCTCCACAGAGCGTCGTCATGACCCGTTAACCATAATGGATGGTGCCAACAGGATAGTGTCTGTTCGATCAGGTAATAACTTCTGTGGATCCTAAGTGTTTTCATAGTAATCTGATTTTTTTTAATCTTGATGGTTGGATTGTTAAATTAATGGTAGCTGTAAAACTTTGCTTCCAAAATTTAGTCTACAGAAGTTTATGGTATCAATGAAAGCTTCCAGGTCTCTCATCTGCTTAAATAACTAACCAGAAACGTTTCCTTCTATAATTCAACATCTGTGTGTGGATATTTTTGTATCTAAAGCATGCTGTTTAAGTGCATGTTTTTATTCACCCTTGCCTTTTCATGGCCATTTCCTTTCTTGATCCTTTCATTTCCCTCTTGTCAAACAACATTCTTGGTAGATTACAGACCAATTAATTGTTTTAGTGCTGAGTTGCATGCAGTAGGTCCATCAAGTTTGATTATTGTGATGTCATCAGGCTAATACAACTATTAAAAAATAGGAACGGGAGTAGTCTATTCAGCCCCTTGAACCTGCTCACCATTCAGTTGATTATGGCTAATCCGACATTCCTCCATGTCCACTTTTCTGCCCTTTCCCGGTAACCTTTGATTCTCTCAGCCTTGTCTATCTCGGCTTTAAAAATACACAAGAACTCTGGCCCCACAGCTCTGTGATAAGGAGTTGCAAAGATACTTGAACTTCTGAGAGAAGAAATTCCTCCTTCTCTCAGTCTTAAATTGGTGTCCCTTTATTCTGAGATTGCGCCCTCTAATCCCAGACACTCTCATGGGAGGAAACGTCCTTTCAGCATTTACCCTGTCAAGCCCCTTAAGAAACCTATATGTTTCAATCAGATCACTTCTTGTTATTCTAAATTCTGATGTAACTTAGAAATTATTATGTGGCAAACTTAAAACAAAGTTGTGTGATGCACGTGTGTTCCAGAGCCGTAATTAAGAAGTAAAACTATAAGCTGTGTGGGTTATTTCCCACGTCTTTGTTTATGTCAACAATTGTAGTTAATAGGAAGCACCAATATTTTGATTTTCCCCTCTTAATGAAATTTTGTTTAAAAAAATTGAACTAATGTCAGAACATGAGGAATGATCATTCAATACTTTATACTCTTCTTGTACTTTAACAGTTATATTTTGCTGCTCTATCATACATAACTTTAAACCTTGAAGACATTTTGTAAATGGGAAAGAAAAGGGAAAATCTAGGTCATAATATAGTGTAAACATTCAGTAAAATAAAGTATATCCACAGAAAATGTGTGACAGCAGATTTAAGACATAAATAGTAATTCCATAGGCTCCACAATGTTTTTGATTGTAAGATAGCAAATTGCACAGTATGAATAGATGCTGGGTGTCATGTGGTACAAATTGTGACCCATTTTTGTTTTAATTATACAATTATATATTGGTTGTCGTAGGTCGAGAGTGGTCTGACTGGTCTAGTGAACTGAGAATTCCTGGTGATGAGCTAAAGTGGAAGTTTACCAGTGATGGTTCTGTGAATGGCTGGGGATGGCGATTTACAGTATATCCTATTATGCCTGCTGCAGGTAATGCATGCTTGTGTATTTTTGCATATCAAGTATTTTTATAAGAAAACTGAACAACACCAGGAGCAAAACTTCTTCATCGCATTTTTTTATTTATTGCACATTACAGAATGCTTTTACAGCAATTGAATGCCAGTGATATGTTTTGAGAGGTTCAAGTATTCAGATGCAGAAAGATTACAGCATGGAAGGAAGCCATTTACCCATCATGCCTCTGATGGTTGAAAGAGCTATTGAAATGAAAGCAAAATACGCAAATGCTGGAAATCTGAAACTGAATGCTGGTGAAACCCAGCAGAGCCTGGTTGTATGTTTGGAACTGAGTTAGCATTTCTAGCCCAGTGTGACTCTCCATAACTTGAAACATTATCTCTGTTTCTGTCTCTACGGATGCTCCTAGATGTGCTGGGTCTCTGCAGAATTCTCTGTTTGATGTGGTCTAACCCGCATCCCCAGTTCGTTCTCCTGTAGCTTATAACATCTCAAGCACAATCCATGTGACCCCACGTCTTCCTCTGTTAAATTGATGACTGTATCAGCCCCACCTCGTGCTCCCACGAGGAGCTCAAATAGTTCATCCACTTCAACACCTTCCACCCCAACCTTAAGTTCACCTGGACCATCTCTAATACCTCTGTCTCCTTCCTGGATCTTCTGTCTCCATCTCTGGCAACCACCTAGAAACCGATATCCATTTCAAGCCCACCGACTCCCACAGCTACCTAGAATACACCTCACACCCACTATCCTGCAAAAATGCCATCCCCTATTCCCAATTCCTTCGCCTCCGCCGCATCTGCTCCCAGGATGAGGCATTCCACTCCCGTACATCTCGGCTGTCCTCGTTTTTCAAGGACCGCAACATCCCCCCGCTCCGTGGTCGAGAACGCCCTCGACTGTGTCTCCCGCATTTCCCGCAACTCATCCCTCACACCCCCTCCCCGCAATAACAACCAAAACAGAATTCCCCTCATCCTCACGTACCATCCCACCAACCTCCGGATCCAACGCATCATCCTCCGACACTTCCGCCATCTGCAATCCGACTCCACCACCAAAGACATTTTTCCCTCCCCACCCTTATCTGCTTTCTGGAGGGACCACTCTCTCCGTGACTCCCTTGTCCGCTCCACACTCCCCTCCAGCCCCACCACACCCGGCACTTTTCCCTGCAACCACAGGAAGTGCTACACCTGCCCCTACACCTCCCCGCCCCACCCCCTTTCCAGGCCCCAGGAAGACTTCCCACACCAAGCAGATGTTCACCTGCACATCTGCTAATGTGGTATACTGCATCTGCTGTTCCCGTTGTGGCCACCTCTGCGTCGGGGAAACTAAGCGGAGGCTTGGGGTCCGCTTTGTAGAACACCTATGCTCGGTTCGCACTAAACAACTGCACCTCCCAGTCGCGAACCATTTCAACTCCCCCTCCCATTCCTCAGACGACATGTCCATCCTGGGCCTCCTGCAGTGCCACAACGATGCTACGTTGCAGGAACAGCAACTCATATTCCGCTTGGGAACCCTGCAGCCCAATGGTATCAATGTGGACTTCACAAGCTTCAAAATCTCCCCTCCCCCTACCGCATCCCAAAACCAGCCCAGCTCGTCCCCGCCTCCCTAACCTGTCCTTCCTCCCACCTATCCCCTCCTCCCACCTTAAGCCGCACCCCCATCTCCTACCTACTAACCTCATCCCGCCCCCTTGACCTGTCCGTCCTCCCTGGACTGACCTATTTCCTCCCTACCTCCCCACCTACACTCACCTTTACTGGCTCCATCCCTGCCTCTTTGACCTGTCTGTCTCCTCTCCACCTATCTTCTCCTCTATCCATCTTATATCCGCCTCCCCCTCTCTCCCTATTTATTTCAGAACCCCCTTCCCCTCCCCCATTTCTGAAGAAGGGTTTAGGCCCGAAACGTCAGCCTTCCTGCTCCTCTGATGCTGCTTGGCCTGCTGTGTTCATCCAGCTCTACACCTTGTTATCCCATGTGACTCCAGATCAACAGTAATGTGATTGACTGACTCTTAACTGGCCTCTGAAAGACGTAGTATGCTATTTAGTTGAAGGGCAATTAGGAATGGGCAACAAATGTTAGCCATGCCACTGGTGCCCACATTCCATGGAAAAATTGAGGAATCTCACAGAAGCTTTTCAAAAGCTTTGTTAATATTGTGCAGAGATAGTAGGCACTGCAGATGCTGGAGAATCCAAGACAACAAGGTGCAGGGCTGGATGAACACAGCAGGCCAAGTAGCATCATAGGAGCAGAGAGGCTGACGTTTCGGGCCTAGACCCTTCATCAAGGCCTTTGACAAGGCTCTGCATGGTAGACTGGTTAGTAACATTAGATCACATGGGATCAAAAGACAGCTAGCCAACTGGATACAAAATTGGCTTGACAG